TGAAATAAGACATAAGTTTTATATTGAGGTTCAGGCAGGCAACCACACGAACTCAGATCAGTTCTTTTTGGTTAGGGGTCCCTAGTGTATTTATTGAAGTGTGGCATTTGAGTGAAATCTTAAGGAAGTGGTGTGTTTTAGGATCTAGAGAACAACGGAGATCAGGCCACCCTGGTTGAGGGAAGAGTGCAGTGTGAGAGTGTTGGCAGGGCTGGATATGGAGTGATGGCAGATGAGCTTGACAGCAATTCTTTTCAAGTCTTTAGTCCTCTGCTTTGGATGGGTCTTTATAATGTGGAACTATCAGAGGTTCCTGCATAGGGGCTTTCAGGTCAAATCAGAGATTCTAAATGGTACCTGATGATGTGTACATGGAGGTTTACAGAGGTCAAGAGAGAAGTGCCACACTGACTATTGGGACTATGGTGCTGATTGGGACAAGCTCCAAAGGGACCTGAGCCAATGGCACCAGAAGGGAAAGGAAAAGATGCATTTGAGTGAACTTTAAATAGTCTAAGAGACTTCATTCTTTTTTAGGTGCTTTGGGATTGTACTGTCAATTAACAAATACTATATGGCTTTGTTCAGGGTACTTTTTCTAAAGAATGCAATGCAAACTAAACAGGGGTTCTTTACATTTAAGTTATATAATGAAAAGGATTCATTACTGATGTAATCTCATAAGAATATAAAATGCTTAGTGGTGAAATAGAATAGCTGTACTTTCAATATATTACTACATTTGTATTGCACCTTTCAGGTTCTTCATATATCCTTTTTTTTTTTAAGGCTTTTATTGTGAATTGAGTGATAGTCTACATGGCAGAACATCGGTTTTGCACTCAATGTATTTTGATTCATTGCAATGATTACAATCCCCTCCATGCATCATTTAAACAACCAAAGGGTATATTCTGCAAGCCTGCTTCCTCCCCACTAGCACACAGCTTTTCCTTTCCATGAGTCTTAGAGTCCTCAGCTGCTCTATCTCTTCATGTCATCATCTCTGCCTCCATATCTGGTGTTGCTGCTTCTCTGGTTGGGGTCCCATGTTCCACCATGCTCTTCCCTCTTGATGGTCCCAGGGTCTTCTCTTCCTGGAATGTAAGATTAACTATGCCCCTCTTTTTGTTACACAAATGTGACAATTGCAGTTAGTCATGATACAATTACTCACTGTTGAATCAAAAGAAACCTATCCCCATCTCCTTTCACCGCATCTAGACAAGATGAAAACTATTCAGTGGGTATTCTAACTTCCCCTCTTTGCTCTAAAACTAAATTCCCTCTTGAAAACATGTTAGCCAGTCACTTCGTACCTTGATAACACCCACCACCACCACCATTTTTAGTAGCCAATGTCTAAGTTGCCCATCCCTATGAACCCTGTGTACTGAGGGGATAGGCTTGATCCTTGATGTGAAGAGTCCTTCCCTCTTGGTTTTATTTTGAACTACTACCTCCATGAGCAAAGGTCAAGTTCATCAAATTGTATCATTATACTTGCTTCCTGTATCAAATTTCTTTATCTTACTCTAGTCAAGTTCTGATTATTAAGCCATCCAAACTAGGTCAAATGGGTACTATCTGCAAATCTGGGCATTCTTGTGCATCTCCCCCAACTTCATATCACCTGGATGCTTCACTCTTATCTCTAGCCCACTGTGGCTAGGTCAGTGCCCATGGATGCAGGAGTTCCCAAGTCTCCATAAACTTTGTACCAACCATCCCTTCCTCACCTCTCTCTCATCTCAAGGTCGGCAGGAGTCTATGGAACATGGTCAAACTAAGCCCATGTCTTCATTAATGCTTTTCACCTACTTCCCACTTACAAGTAGACCAACATAGCTATCAGCGAGCTTACAAACCTGCTTGTGTGTTCCCTCTGAGTTTCAGTATTGGAAGGTTTGTTCTGAAGGGCCTTGATGGCTCCCAGGCAAACAGATGCTTATTCTTATAATAGCCAAACAGTCTGCTTTTATTCTTTTTCTGCTGCTCTTTCTTTCAAGAAGTATCTTTTGTTCCTCTAGCTGCTCTAGGCTGGTCTGCTTGTTCTTTCAAGTGGGAATGTCCCACCTCAGAAGGTTCTGAATGGGACTCAGGATTACACCTAAAGCCCTATACTCTATAAAGGCTCCACAAGTAACCTATTTCACTGGGCAAATTCTAGAATCCTCTTTAGGTATTCCAATCAGTTATAGACTGAAGATGGGCTTACAAGCTTTCTGCAATCTTATTTCCCAATATTCCTTTCTGTCCCAGCTAAACCACTAAAATATAAAAGTAGGTAAGGGAAACAAATATCCACAAGACAGTCAAACACCTTAACATTATTTCTCCTCTTTTATCCATTCAGACTATGCCTCAATCCCTGTATCACAGAGCTCTGTTGTTCCAAGGTTGAGTATGCATCACTATTTACCTCTGTCCCATTTAGATCATGCCCACCGCTCCCCTTCCGTATTGTGTATTACCCTCCCCAACACCCAAACTATGATGTGTCTATTGCTAGCCTGTGCTCTAAGGTCCTCTCCCTCCCACCTGTGGTAACCAACAACATTTTTTTTCTTTTAGTATGGAAATCTTTTCTTAAACCTTTACAATAATGGTCTTATGTGATATTTATCCTTTTATGAGCTCAGCATAATACCCTCAAGGTTCATCTATGTTTTGAGGTGTTTTGCCATTTCATCGATATTCTTCAAGGTAGCATTGTATTCCATTGTGTGTATGTACCAAAGTTTGTTTATCCATTCTTCCATTAATGGATACTTAGACTATCTCCATCTTTTGCTGTTGTGAATAATAGTGTGCGTATATCTACCCAAGAGACTTAATTTTGCAACTGGTTGGCTGTGGGGAAAAGCGAGAGGGAAGAATTGCAAATGACAGCTTTCTAGCTGAAGTGACTAGAAAAACAAGTTGTAAAATATTAAGTTTTGAACATGGCAGGTGGGAGTATGGGGGTGGTGTGGAGGGATTGAGGGCTGGGAGATGGGTGAGGATATAGAATAGTGAGGTTAGTGATGCTTCGTTTTTATTTCATGTGTTTAACATGGTGCCTACATGGATATGCTCTTAAACAGTTAAAAATTGTGACCTCATAGATAGGAGGAGAGGTTAGGATTTAGGAATCAAACTTCACATCCAAGAAACCCTTGAGGACTTGTGGTTGGAGGACCTTCTTAGCAGATCAGAGTGAGAATATCTGAGAACTATGGAGTCCTGGTGTGGCGCTGTGGGTTAATGCACCAGACTGCAAAGTCATTTGAATTGCAAGGTCAGTGGTTCAAGCTTACCAGTGTTTCTTTGGAAATCCTATACTGGGTCACTATGGGTCCGAATTGGCTCAACGGCACTTAACAACAACAACAAGGGCTGATAAGTGCCTCCATTTAAGGAGTGAGTAGAAGAGGTACCCAAAAGATTAAAGCCCAGGAAAACAGTTTCAGCAAAGACAGATTAGATCACAGTGGGAGCCGATGCTGTAGCTGAGAAGAGGCATTTGAAGGGATCGACTTACTATGAAATTACTATGAAATCTCTTGTCTTTTAATATATTTCATTGCAGATATATTGAAACTACACATGTAGAGAGAAAATTATAATGACCCACCATGTACCCCTACTTCAGTGATTATTAATAATTTCATTTCTCCTATACTTTGGTTTGAACTAGTTCATAAAGATACTTGCATTTTACATAAGTACCAAGCCATTAGAGCCCCCAGCTTAATAAGCTAGGCTGCTAAGTGAATGATCGGAGGCTCTAGTTTACCCAGAGGTACCTCAGAAGAACACCCTGGCAATCTGCATCCAAAATATCTGCCATTGAAATCCCTGTGGAGTACAGTTCTACTCTGACATATATGGAATCACCATTAGTCTGAATCCACACAACAGCAACTAGTGAACTAAGACAGTATTTCACCAAAGAAAAGTAATAATAATCTCTGTATCATCCAGTAAAACCTCTTTACTTAAATAATTTGGAGGTATTCAGAGCCATGTTAGTGATACGTTAAAAATTACATGTAGAGTAGATCTCACGCTATAGTCATGAGATGGTGTGGGAAATAGGCAGAGTGATTTGAGGAAGATAGTAAGGTTCTCTCTGCAGGAGGGATGTTGCTCCTACATTGCTCATACTGGTTTGTGATGGGAGGCTGTTTGTTTTGTGTGTGTATATGCTTTTCCACTGAGAATAGCAACAACCTTCCAAAACTGGTCATCCTATCGTTAGAACATATGAATTAAAACATAAATCCAAAGGTACTGTCATGGTTTTGGCTCCTTTGACCTACATACTATTAGCGCCTGATTCTAGAGCATTAATCCTCCACTGGGGTGATTTTGCTCCCCAAGGGACATTTGGTAGTATCTGGAGACATTTTTTATTATCATCGTACTAGTGTCAAATGAGAAGACGTCAGGGATGCTGTTAAATATCCATGCAAAGAACAGCCCTGAAACAAACCAGCCCACAATGCCAATATTACCAAGGTTGGGAAACCCAAACCTTGTAGGTAAGAAATCACATATTCCAGAGAACTGCTCTTTTCAGTCTGTTGTTGTATCACATAGTTGTACCAAGTTAAATTAAAGGGTTTTTTCTCTCTCTTCTTTGGAGAGAGGTTACTTTCCTTGCAGGCACTTTTCCTGTCATCAAATTCACCTAAGCTGAATTTGGTCAGATCTTTGAAACTACCAAACTTAACTCCAGTTTTAATTTTCTTTGTGTCCTTGGGCTCAAGACGAGCATTAAAGTGATTTGGTGATTTAGAGTAAACTGAATTTTCTCAAGATGTTCACTGGTCAGAGTAAAATTTTCTCTCTTGGGAAGAGACAATTGCCTGGGGTCACTATTTAATAAGCAGGTGGTGGGGGCTTGTTAAATCTAAATGTAATTTCTATTATTACATCCTAACTTTAAAATGATCAGTCATTTGTAGTAATTAAGTGAAAAACATAAAGTTGCTATTTCACCTTTTTATTCGTAGGAAATGCAGTTGGAGCATGCAAAGCAAGCGTTTGTGCAGCGCGACAGTGCCAAGACTGGAAGAGTCACAGCCATTGACTTCCGAGACATCATGGTCACCATCCGACCCCACGTCTTGACACCTTTTGTAGAGGAATGTCTAGTAGCTGTAAGTTGTAAACAGCTTGCCTTAATAAAGCAGTTTATACTGCCTGGTTTAAGCTCAGTAAATAAATGATTTTAAGAATAATTCTCATTAATTATATATTACTCTATGTTTAAACACTGTCCTTAATGTGACACCATGCATTTCCATGCTTACTACAGGTGTTATCTTAACAGGGAAATTAAGTTTTTTGCCTAAATAACATGGAACATCTTAGAGAAATAACCCATTACTTTATTAACTGACTAAAGGAAACATAAACATTAAATCTGCAATTTTGTATTAAACATTACTTTGTGTTTTGAAGTATGTCAGATGCTGATGTCTACTACCTGGTGTCCAATAAAAAAAAATTTTTTAAAAACAAGTAAAAAAAATTGTACACACCTATATATGCTTGCTAGAGTAATGAGCAAAATGGAAATTCTAACATCCATTCATTTATTCAGAATGTATGTGCTACAGTGGAAGATATGTTAGCACTGCTGTTGTGTGTCGTGGAGCCTTCAGCCTAGTACATGTCCAACCGCTGTCCTTACCTCACAGCCCCAAAGAGCATCTTACAACATCATATAGTGATGGCTTTCAAGCCTTGTTATAGAACATCAGGTTAACCAAGAAAATACAGATTTCAAGGTCTCTTCGAAGCCTAAGGTGGTGAAGTCTTGGAATCCGTTCTTTGTAGATGATTCTGATGCTCGGCCAAATCTGGAATGCTGTCCAGTACTGGTTCTCCTTTGAGAACGCTTGAATCGCAGGGATAACAGGTTGAACCATTTCATCGTCATCTGGGTTTTCCCAGGACTTACTAAAATAGTCTTTTTCTTTTTTTCTTTTTCCTGTTGCCCTTTTTGAAGACATGGCACCCTAACATGACCTTTTCCTTTTTGGCACTTTGTTAATCTGCCTGCTTCTCTGGATCCCCATTCCCTACCCCATTTTAAATTCTCATGTCAGCTATTTTAAGTGATTGCTAAAGGAAGATTTATGTGGTTGTTTCCTTATTAAGAAGTGATTTCCTAATAAAAATATTTTGCCTTGTTAGGGACGCCTAGAATTTGAAACCTCAGACTGAAGTTTCATTCATGATATACATGTTTCTTGTAAAGATATATGGTTTCTTAGAAATTCTGATTATCAGAATTCAGACCAGTCTTAACTCCCATCAAAGTATATGACAATTCATAATTTTACCATGATACACTTGTATACTAGAAATCCCACCAATGTAAAGTCTGTATTTAAATATTTATTGCTAGCTGTAAGTAACATGACAAGTCTTGATATTAATGGTAGATTGGCCACTTTTCCTAGTATGTTTGCATTTCTATTATATAGTTTTGCATCTGCGAGTGTGTGCAATATAGTTTTGCATGCATAAGCCTTTAAGATTTGCTCATTAGATGAAATAAACCAACTTATAAAACATTTCCAATTGAAATTTGAACTCTGTAAATTACTACTAGTCCTGTTGTTATAATCCTACACATGCATTTATTTAGTTTTCTAGGAGTTGTGTGGAGAGTGCAAGTTCTGGTCATGATTAGTTGCAGTTACTTTCAAAAATCATTTATAGCTTTTCTTTTTTTGAATGTAAAAGAACATAATCATGACCATTTCTTCTTATCCATGCATTCTCAGATTACTTCTAAAGTAATACTTGATATATGACTTCTGAATCTTCTGCATTCTATAAATCTTCTGTTTATTTTTCTTTTCCCTCTTTTGTTTTCAACTTATTTAAGGCTGCCGGAGGTACTACATCCCATCAAGTTAGTTTTTCCTACTTTAATGGATTTAATTCGCTCCTTAACAACATGGAACTCATTAGAAAGATCTACAGTACTCTGGCTGGCAACAGGAAAGATATTGAAGTGACAAAAGGTGAGTAAGAACATTATTGCCTGAAAATGTGAGGGACCTTCAAAAAGTTCATGCAACCATAGAATTAAAAAAATAATGGAACTTTTGCACAAACTTTGTATGTGTGAATTGAGTGATAGTGTACATGGGAGAACATTGGTTTTACACTCATCTTATTTTGTTTCATTGCAATGATTACAATCCCTCCGTGCATCATCATTCAACAGTATTTGCTTCTATTCCTTTTTTGTGTGTGTGTGCTTTGTTTTGTTTTTTTTTTTGGATGTACACCAAAGCACTCAGGAAAATATAATCATTTAAGCAACCAAAGGGCAAACATTCTGCAAGCCTGCCTCCTGGCTGCCAACACTCAGTCTTTCTCTTTCATGAGTCTATAGAGTCGTCAGCTGCTCCCTCTCTCCATGTCATCATCTCTGCCTCCATCTGTGGCATTGCTGCTTCTGGATAGGGTCCCACATCCGCTCGTGCTCGTCTCCCTTCCACAAACTTTTTGAAGCCCCCTCAACCAGGGTTAAGAGGACAACCAGGAGATTTTGTTATGACTTTTTCTATCCCACATAGTACACATATTACCAAATGTTATATGCATAGTCGCCATCTTCTGAGTAAACAAAAGTAAACAAAAATAATCTCCAGCAAGTTTTAAATCAACTGAAGACAGCTTTTTGATGAGGGAACATGCAGTTTTTTTAAATGTTTTCGAATCTTGCTATGATTGTTGTTAAGCCAGTCAGTTCTGACTCTTAGCGACCCTGTACTTCTGAGAAACAGCTGTTGGGTTTCAACTGCGGGCCTTGGGTTCACAGTTTTGTGCTGATACTACAGCCCCACACCAGAAGTCTGATACTTGCTATAACTTGAACTAAATTGATAGTGTTGTGTGCTGCAGGATAAGCACTGGACTGCTAACCACAAAGTTGGCAGTTCAAACCCACTAGCTGCTCTTCAGAAAACCCTATGTAGTGTCGCTATGAGTTGGAACAAAGTCGAAGGCACTTGACAACAACAATGTGGCCTTCAGAAGTAGACGAAGAATCCCACCAATTTGTATTAGTGATAATGTATGTTGATTTACAATCTTGGAACAATATATTATCATCATTTTAGTGGGATTTCAAAACCAAAACAGAATTCCCTTAGGAATCCCAAAGCTTCCTTAGTATAACTTCCTGGGACCATTTTCTCAGACATGCATTTGAATCATAGCTTGGGTCATTTACACTAAACTTTCAGATGGCACTAAGCTTTTAAACTAAAGGTGAGAGAAGAGAGTCTTCCCATTCTTTCCACATGAGTGAAGGACATGAGCCATGCTTACCCTATTTGGATTGACTTGAATTCTGTAACCGATAATAATAAATTTTTGTGATGTTCACTCATTCCAGTGCCTGAGTTAATGTTGAATTTAGTGGCTATTCCTTTTTGAATCTTTCTCATTTAACTTTTTTTTTTTTACCCCATGCAGAGGAGTTTGTTCTGGCAGCTCAGAAATTTGGTCAGGTTACACCCATGGAAGTGGACATCTTGTTTCAGTTAGCAGATTTATATGAGCCACGGGGGTAAGTTGGCTTTTTTTTTTTTTTTTAATCAGCTTAATAAAAGGAGGTTGGGAGTTGGAGGTAGCAAAAGGGTAGCAATTCTGAGAAAAAGAATCCAGGCTACTCTGAAGTGGTGGTGGTGGTGGTTGTATGCCAAGGAGTCGGGTCCAACTCATAGCAACCCTGTATAAGGCTTTTGAGACTGCAGGTCTTTGCAGAAGCAGAAAGCCTCATCTTTCTCCAGCGTAACAGCTGGTAGTTTTGAATTGCTGACCTTGAGGTTAGCAGCCCAGCTTGTAACCATACGCTACCAGATCTCCTTCTACTCGGAAGTATGAGACATAGAAATGTTTGTTTTAAATCCCATTGTGTAAACTGGAATAAATTGGTGTTTTTTGTCATTGTTTGTGTTTGTCTCCTTTAGACGACTGACTTTAACAGACATTGAACGAATTGCTCCTCTGGAAGAGGGAACTCTGCCCTTCAATATTGTTGAGGCCCACAGGCAGGTGGGTGAAGAAGAACCAACTTGTTCACTCGTTTTTTTTTTTTTTTATCTAGTAGGGCACCCCTGCCCCTTTTCATTTGCAAATGCCCTGGTGATACCTAATTTACCACTTTCCATTTTGTACCTAAAATCTGGATAATTTGAAAAGGCTGAAACAGAAATTATTTGGAGATTTAAGTTGCTTGTTTCTTTCAAAGACTGGGTGGTTTACTGAGTGGAAGCCTAGCACTCCAAGAGTGTGTAGATCTTTACTTCTCCGAAGCCCTCGTTGAGAGCCATTGGTGCTGATCCCACTGTTAGCAGCCAGGCATTGCTAAATGAAAGCCATCTTTGCTCCACAGAGGCGTACGTCGTCTAACTGCATTGTCTAACTGCCATGGCTTCCGTTTTTTCTGAATATCAAAACGAGATAATTTTGTTTAGTCTGGAGTCCTAGTTTGAAGGCTTTTAGACCTATTTTCTCAGTGAAAGGATTCATAAGTTATGTGGAAACAATTTTAGGAATGCTAAATTTTATTTTATGGTTAACAGAAACCAATCTCTTGAAGTTGTAGGAGTCAGAAACTTAAGACGTGGAACCTCCTCCTTTAACTCTTACTCGGCCATCTATAGCTCAGGACTAGAGAATAAAAGCCTTCATTGCATGTGTTGTGCTTACACGATGTTTGTAAAATAAATCCACTCACAGACGAGCGCCGTCTTAGAAAAAATACCTCCTTTAAGGCAAAGCCATCTCTGAATCCTGTGAGACTTAACATTTTTTGGCTTGGAGAGCTAGGTCTATACAGAGACGCCAGTTTGACCACAATGGGTTGATGCGGGCTACATTTTTAGGACTGTCAGGCCTTGAGCCAGGACCCCCTCCTTTTAGATCTCTCCCACTCAAACGCAGTGGCGAGTTTTGTGTGCCGCAGGGAACTTAAAGTGGTGGATGGGTACTCAGCAAATCCTAACAAGGCACCTCTGGAAAACCAGCTGGCCATTGTTAAAAGAGGAAGCCGATTTTCCTGAGTGCAGGAGAGAACTGAATAATCACGTGCAGAGGTGGAGGCAGTGCCTTTGCTCTGCCTTTGATTTCTAAACACTGCTTAAGAGATGATTATCACTTCCACTGTATCCATACTAGCCGCTGTAGAAATGTGGGGATTAAGAAAAACAGAGAATATTTTTTTGTTGGTTCCTACGCCCCCCCCCCCCACAAGATTCCCTCCTGTTCTCCAGCTGGCAGAGGTATCCCACAATTTTTCCTTTGTAGCTTTTGAGAGTTTATGATGGGTGCTTGTTGATACTGGCTAGGGAAGGGTTAGACTAAATTGATGAGATTTACAGCAGGAAATAATTGGCTGCTGCTTAGAGGTTTAAAGTATTCTGGATGCCCTTGCCTGGAAAATGTATTATTACAAGGACCCTGGTGGGGTTGACAACGTTCACAAACTAGAGTGAGTAAGGCTGTCCACCTGGTAGGCAGAGGGCTGCCTCTCATTCATTTTAGACAGAGGGGTGAAGGTGGAGGAATCTTTCTTGCTGCAGTTCAAGTACATGCTACATTTCTAGTGCAAGACTGGGTAAATAAAAGTCAGATGTTTATTTATTTTAGATGAGGAATTAGTGGATGTGTCAGATCTCCCCCTCTCCCTCCCCACCATGATTTCCAGAGTATTTTGATGCATATTTCTATCAATTCCACGTATATACATTGTGCTTTTCTTATGGATATTGTTGTTGTTTAGTACTGTTGAGTTATTGTATAGGGTTTCCAAGGAGAGACTGATGGGTTTGAATGGCAGAGAATTGCAGGTCAAACCAACCTTGGGGTCAAGTGCTCATGCTACAGTGCCACATCTGTGATATCCATCTGTACAGGGATAGAGTTGGAAACACCGCATGGGATATGCAGAAAAACTAGTTTACATTCTTAAACATGTGTATTTTTATGTAAAGCTATTTTCAGTTAAATTATTTTGAAGAAAATTCCCAATGAAACCGTTTCATTAGACTTGTGTTACAATGACAGCAGCTCAGATGGAGTGGTTTGATGGCTGGAATTTATAATTGTTGTCATTGCTCACAGATTTTAATTATCCTGGTGATTGAAAACAAATTTTATTGAATGTACATATTCACTCACCAGTTATTTATTAAACACCAACTATATGCCACTTTTGGAGTCCTGATATAGTGCTGCAGGATCAGCACTGGACCACAAGGTCAGTTTGAACCACAAGGTCAGTGGTTCAAACCCACCAGCCACTCCCCAGAAACCCTATACAGAGTTGCTGTAAGTCAGAACTGACTTGAAAGCACTAACAAAAATATATGTCACACTCATTTGACAAGATTGTCTGGCATAAAATTACTATTTTATGTATCTGGGCAGACAAGTGCAGTACCCTGAATTGGTCTGGCATCAAACCATTTCAAGGATAACAGGTCAAATGACTAACAACTGGTTGGTTTGATATATGAATTTAGAAAAGATGGACCAAAGAGGGAAGCAAATAGCCATCACCAGTAATCCAAGCACCTAGCTGTAACCATGGTAAACGTTTTTTAATATCTTTAGGAATAGATGGCCAAAGTGTTCGTATTATTTTTACATGCACATACCAATCCACAAGGAGCCCTGGTGGCGTAGTGGCTTGTGCACTGGGTTGTTAACCTCAAGGTCAGTAGTTTGAACCCAACAGTCACACCTCAGGAGAAAAAAAAAAGGCTTTCTGCTCCTGTAAAGATTTACAGCCCTGAAAACTCTACACAGGGTCACTATGAGTCAGAATCGACTCAACAGCACACAGCAGCATACCAACCACAATTTTAATTAAAAAGATAATATTCTACTGAACATAATCTTTAAAGTTTATAAAAACGTCATGAAATAGTTCATACAAATAACAAAGGAAAATCATATAACAAATACCCATCGACACACATTTTTTCAGCCTCTCTTTTCATTTATAAATTTTTATAAACATTTTTCTTAATACAAAATATCTTTTCCATTCTAATTTTTTTCATGTTACATTATTTCATTTAATAACTGTGCCATTATTTTTTAGCCAGTCCTCTATTTTTGGTCACTTAAGGTATCACCAAAGTTTTTCTTCTTAAAACAGTACAGCTTTGTAATATCCTTATAATTTCATCTTTGTTTGCATACATGATTATTTTATAACCTAACTTTTTATAAATAGAATTACAAGGTCAAAGGCCACATATGTTTTAAGGATTTGGATGTGTATTACCAAATTTCCAGTTAATTACCTTTGGTTTAATGACAGGTTTGAGAATGTTTTTATCATCTCTTGTCAGGCTGGGTATTGCTGTTAAAAAACAAAACAAAACAAAACTTGCCGATTTGATTGTTGTCGTTGTTGTTATGTGCCGTGGAGTCAAATAATCTCCCACTGATGTTTTTCAATTTGCATTTCTTTGATTACTGATGAGAACTAAACATTTGAAAATAGATTCATAACATTTTGTTTTTAGTAAAGGCTTTCATTATACTGGGATTTGATCTTAAACATTAACAGTAATAATAACCCTTTATTAATGAGAAAGGACTTTTAGTGTTACATTGTAGCATCAGAACTGGACAGCACACCTGCTGCTCCTCAGAAACCCTACACAGGGTCACTATGAGCAGAACTGACTTGACGGCACTTAGCAACAACAAGAAGAACATATCAAATCTAATCCTGTGTTCCTCTCAGACATTTTAGTTGTGCCATGGATTTAGAACGCTGTGACTAATTTTTAAAAAGAGTATGTGCTCACTTTGTCATGTCCTTTTCTCCATCTCCTGTCTTCCTGCCCTCCGATTGCTATTCATGCAAAGCAGAAAGCCTCGGGAGACACAGGTCGTCCAGTTCTCCTGCAGGTTGCAGAGTCGGCTTACAGGTTTGGCCTGGGTTCTATTGCCGGAGGTTAGTCATGGATGAGTGCAAAATTTTCATTTGTATTGTTCCTTTTATTTTCTCCCTGATTTTCTACCTTGAAGTTTTAAAAGACAAAACCTTCTTTAGTCTTTCTTCAATCTAGCTACCACCCAGCCTGCTCTTATGAGGTGGGATTGAGAGAGAAGGGAATTTTTTTCCATATCTGCATGTGATCAGGGACTCACAAGTGGCATGTTCCCCTTACGTAGCCACCGACAGGCTTTCTAAAAGACAGGTTAATAATGAGGTTAGGTTGTGCTGCTGTGATTTTAATTTAAACTGTCTGTGACATCCTTTTATCAGGGGACACTTGGATTAAAATCCACAGTTGCTCTTAGGGGTATAGAAAGACAGCACCATTTTTAAAATGAGTACGGGCTTCTTTTTTCTGTCTTCTCTTTGACTTAACTACCTCCCCTTCCCTCTGACTGACCGTAACTTCCTCCTAAAATGTTGCTTTTGTTTTATTTTAGCTGTTGGAGCCACTGCTGTGTATCCTATTGATCTTGTAAAAACTCGAATGCAGAATCAACGATCAACTGGCTCTTTTGTAGGAGAACTTATGTATAAAAACAGCTTTGACTGTTTTAAGAAAGTGCTACGCTATGAAGGTTTCTTTGGACTGTATAGAGGTTAGTGCCATGTACTAAATTCCTGTAAGGTGAAATAATAGTCAAAGCTTGGGTTCCCATCTGAATGCCTGAAATGTATTAAAGAGCCTGCATTAAAATGGAAATACAGCAGATTCTTAATTATCCATGCTAATGGGAGTAGGCTGGAGGCATCTAGGGCATGGCTAAATCAAAACAGCCCATAATCTGAAAGCCATTTATATTGGTCTGTGGTGGTTATGTACCCTGGAGTTGGTTCCGACTCATAGTGGCCCTGTATAGTGTTTCCGAGGTTTTAAATCTTCACGGGAGCAGAAAGGCTCAGCTTTTGCCCATGGAGTGCCTGCTAGATTCCAACTGCTGACCCTGCAGTGAACAGCACAACTCATAACCCACTAGAGCTCCTTATGGTGGTCTGTTGTTGTCAAGTGTATGTTTTAATCCTTTAATACAAATTGTTCTTCGTAAACATTTTCAATGAGTTTTTTAAGGACTCATTGCTTGTGTTCCTTAAGTATTTCAACTAAACCCATTGCCATCAAATTGATTTAGACTCATGGCAACCTCGTCCGTTACGGAGTAGAACTTCTCCACAGGGTGTTCTTGGCTGTAAATTTTTACTGCCTAAGTTTTCCAAGCTTTTCTTCCACAACGCACTGTGATGGGCTCAAACTGTCAGCCTGTAGGTTACTTGTTGTAGTTGTTGTTGTTAAAGTGCCATTGAGTCGGTTCCAATTAATAGCGACCTTCTATAGGGTTTTAATTATTATTATTATTATAAACTGAGTGATGGTTTACATGGGAGAACATCAACTTTACACCATTGTTTCATTGCAATGATTACAATCCCCTCTGTGCATCATCATTCAATAGTATTTGCTTCCATTCCCTATGTTTTTGTTTGTTTGTTGTTGTTGTTTTGGTGGTAGAGGGGTATACACAAAAACACTCAGGAATATATAATAATTTAAACAACCAGAGGGTGCATTCTGCAAACCTACTTCCTGGCTATCAGCACTCAGTACTTCTATTTCCGTGAATCTAGAGCTGTTCCCTCTCTCCATGTCCTCATCTCTGCCTCCATCTCTGGTGTCGCTGCTTCTCTGGGTAGGGTCCCGCACGTGCTCTCCTCTCTTGATGGTCCTAGGGTCTTCTGTTCCTGGACTGTAAGATTAACTACTCCCTCGATTTTGTTACAAAACAATTGTGACAGTAGCAATTGTTAATGATAACAATTACTCACTATTGAATCATAAGAATCTAATCCCCATATCTTTTCACTAGACAAGACAAAAACTCTTCAGTGGGGACTCTATCTTCCCCTGCATGCTCTTAAACTAAACTTGCTCTTGAAAACTTGTAAGTCCCCTCATTTTAGGTAGCCAGTGTCTAAGTTGCCTGTCCCTATCTATCCTGTATACAGAGGAGATAAGATTGATACTTGGTGTGAAGACATCTTTGCTTTCAGTTGGTATTTTGAGCTACTACAGCCATAAATATAGGTCAAGTTCATCAAATTGTAGAATTTTACAGTCATTTCCTTTATCAAAAATTGTTTGTTTTTATCTTCCCTAGTCGATTTCTGATTATCAAGCCATCAAGGCTATGTCAAATGGGTACTATCTGCAGGTTTGGGCATTCTTGTGCCTCTCCCCTCACTTCATATCATCACCTAGATGCTTCACTCTTTGTATAGGGTTTTCAAGAAGCAGCTAGTGGGTTTGAACTGCTGATCATGCTGTCCAATGCTTTAACCTACAGCACCGAGCGCAAACCATTTGCTCCACCCAGGGACCTTCAAATACTCTGCTCACCAGCTGATAGGGCAAGGCATCTTGAGAATAGGACAGAGCCAGTCCCAACTAATGACTCACCTGGGAGATAACACCAAAATGCTCAATGGTCAGGCATGCAACCAAGGGCTCACAGGAGCCCTCCTTTATGTCTCTTTTTGAGTTAAAGTTGACTTTGAACCCCATGGAGTTTATTCACTCACCATCTAGCTAGGTTACCCTTTGATATTCACTGGCTTCTTTAATCATCTGAGGTTTGCTAAGCAGTAGTCACCTTGGCTAAGACTGTGTCATCACCTGTGGAAAGGACCCACAGACCCCAACTGCTTTCCCATTGGCATCAGCCTAAGCACATAGGACAGTATGCCCATGAGGATCAAGTTGTTGACATAGGTACAACAGCAAAAGAATGATTAGTCCTCAGTCTCTCTATCTCTGTGGTTGCCTTCTGCAAAGAAAAAAAAAAGGAGTAAGTTAAAATACAGTATCATGAACAACTGCAAACTGGCACTTCTCCCCTCCACTCTCCTTTTGATGATTGTTCTAGAAGAAGAAAATAGTATTTAATGCTCTGCTGAGACAGACCGTGAAACTGGCAGCCACGTAAACCTGAGCCTCTAGGCCTCTTCTGCCATCTGCTGACTCTAGTCTCTCATCTCTTATATTAAGCACCTAAGTTTAAAAGAAACCCTTTTCTGAACCCTCTTACCTTAGAAGCGAGAAGATTTCAGGCTCCAGAGAAGTTCCATTTTGCAGGTTCTATTGTGTAGGTAGATAACTGCCATCAAAGGCCTTTTGATCTTTCCTCTCTTTCCTTTACCCCCTGCCTCTTCTTATAATTTGGAAGGCCTTTGACCCCAGGTGATTGATGATGACCCTTACAGGGTCACTGCCTTCTTTTTACAATACTCAAATGAAATGTCTTCCAAATAGTACAAGGTTAATGTCACAGTTGCTGCTTTGTAGTGGCTCAGGCAAAGGTGACTGCCATACCTGCCCTTGTGAGCTGTTTTCTGAAGGAAGAGCTTGGAGCCTCCATCCTGGACAGAAGTCTGAACATTGGAGGTGCTTCACACACCACTTGTACACACTTTTCTTGGTACTGGATTACGTATCAGTCCTTTTATACTTTTAAAATTGTGAGAAATGTATGTGATCCTGCTATATGTATTCAGTTTGCCTGCATTGATTTGGTTTGTTTTAAATATTGAGTCTCTTCTCTTTCCTCCTTGAACTTTCCTGGCAGGTCTTGAGTCTTAGTTGTATCTAGATTTGCCTTCCACCAACTGCCCTTTTGACCCCATAGAGAGAACAGCTTAAAACATACTGGTTTCTAATTTGGGTTCTAACTTTAGTGCTGACCTGATACGGGTCATCCATAAACTTCTTGCTGGTTTTGTTATTACATCTGTAAGACTTGAGGAACAGGTTTCAACTCCTCAGGGAAGGGGAATAAGCTGACATGTTAGATAGAACCTGGGGATCACTTAGAGCACCAAAGTGACAGCTCTTTAGCATTTACCTGGCTTAGAAATAGCCATTGATCTAACCCACTTTGGTGCCTCCACCCTAAGGGCAAGGAGCCCAGCTGACTGTCAGGGGATGACAAGTAGAGTGTGAGTACCCACCCCACGATTAGTTCTGAGAGCTGCTTATGTTCATTTCTCTCTGATATCTTACTTTTGATAGCAGACTGTTTTTTAAAGGTTTTATCAGGTTTTAATCAAAACTATCATTAAACACATATTTATTGAGCACTCAACATGTTTTACCCTTCAGGAGCATGATCTTCTAATATGTGCCCTGTGTGAAGGCTTTGAAGAGCAAACACTGCAATCTTCAGTCCTCCTTGGAGAGTTTAGTCTTTGGTTCAATTCCTACTTCCTGAAAGAACAAAGAGATCAGGGTCAGTGTTGAGCACCTTTCCCTTCTGGAGAAAGGCATGATGTGATAATCTCTTAAGCAACATGGAAGGAGAACTCAGGAATCCAGTACGGAGAAATCGTACTTGGGATCCTTGTCCAAATTCAAGCTTCTCTAATTTCAGAACAAGTTGACCCTTGAATTGGCTTTAGGATTTCTGGTGTTCCACTGTACTCCTTTGTTTTTGTCGTGGTAAAACACACATAACACGAAACTTGCCACTCTAACCATTTTTAAATGTACGATTTTGTGTCTAGTAGACAATTTTAAGACATACGGTTTACTAAAAAACTATGTTCCATTCTGTAATTTGGATCTTGAGAACAAATATATGATTGCCAGTACACGTTAAAAAACAAAATTAAAAAAAAAAAAAAAAAGATTTGCAATCTTGTACTGAAAAGGACTTGTTCCTATTCTTGACTAGTCAAGAACTAAGTTTTATGTATCTTAGAATTTTCATTAGTCCTTGCATATAACCACTAATGAATCATTGTGTGTAATTGCATAGAGAGCCTTTTAGTAATGTGGGTTAGATATTGAACCGCTAAACGTGAAGTCAACAGTTCAAAACCACCAGTAACTCCACAGGAGGAAGATGAGGCTTGCTGTTCCCATAAAGATCTGAAACCTCAGAAATACCATATAATGTCACTATGAATCAGAATCAACTGAATGGCAGTGGGTATTCTGGGTGTGGTTTTTTTGTTTTTTTGTATATTTGTAAATGCTTATGATCAGGCAAGAAAACAGTCAGATGAATTTGTGGCTAATTCTTGGAAAACCATTACTACAAATATATGTTACAATAAAAACAAAAAAACTGGATTTTTGAGAACCAGTATTCTAACCTTTGTGTTGAAAGCAAGACTTCTAACCAGTTCATTCCAGCTCATCCCCTTGCTGAGAATTCACAGTTCTACCCCAGATAGACTGAATCAGAATCTGTATTTTAACATATCTGCAGTTGATTCTTAGATCCCCATGTGATTCTTATGTAAATAATCTTGTTAAAATGATTATTCTTATTTATTCAATGTATCTGTTGTAGAAATGGGGTTTCTCAGCAGGGGGTCAAAGTGGAATGAACAGGTTCTAAGCCCTGGTACAAAGTCAACATATAAAATAACTGTGGTTTTTTGATGATAGATTGCACACTAAATGTAATTATGTTGCTTAAAAGCTTTGTTTCAGAAGAAAAGTTAAATTTTAATTCTGAGCATTTTAGAATTGCTGCTGTTAATGCTTCAGCTAGCAATAACTAGGGTGTCAACCTATATCTCTAGTTTATAAACATGTTTCAAA